AAGGTCTCACGCATGACCTTCGTGTGAATCAGCGATGAAGCTCAGGGTTGTGAGCCAGGAGAAAGTCCCTTCTCTTACACGACTAGTAATCCTTGCATTATGTCATTGAGAAGTCTCAAAGCGCTTCACAGGATATTCTGTAAAGCGGTATGATTGTATTAAGTGGACAAACACTGCAGCCAATTTTTGCACAGCACTGTCCCACAAACATTCAAGAAGTGAGTGACCAATTTTATCTGGGGGGTTGTCGGCTAAGATATTGGACAGGACACCCTTTTCCCAATAGTGTCATGGGATCTTTAATGTCCACCTGAACAGGGAGATGAGTAACGCATTTAATAGCTCACTATTCAAGTAGAGAATTGGAAGTCTGAAATTCCATTGTAGTCGCAACCTTAAAATGTAAGGTTGTGCAGAATCCAGGAACATTTTGTTAAATTTGGTTTTGGTCTTGATTTTCCAGTTTTTTTGTTTGTTGATAAAGTCAGTTATCCATTTTGATGGCTGTTTGTGGGACGTTGCTGTGCGTGTCTGACACAGTCGCTATGCTTTACACTAAATCCTGTGAAGCGCTTTTGAGATTTAGCCAAAGCACAATATCACATAGATTAATTGTTAACTGTTAATTACATTGAACGGTATAGTACAGACAGCCCATCTGGCCAGTGTTCAGTCTCCGCACAAACCCTCACCACTCCTAATTCCCTCTGCCATACCTCTTCTATTCCCTTTTCCTTCACCTCCACAAACTGGCTATTTATATGGCTGGTAGGGTGAACGTTAAAAATCCTGCGACACTGTCAGGAAAACAAGGGTGTTTCTCCGGGTGTCCTGGTCAACAATCCTCCAGAATTATCATTCATTCACCTCACGGTTGTGTGCGTTTGTGTAGGGCACAGCTGTGTGTAAAATGGTTCTTAAAAAGAACTAGCTTCCAAATCAAGATTGAATGATTTTCAAAATTTGTGCACGCTCTTGAATTTTGAGAGAATGTCTTTCGAAGCTGAGGCTACGAGGAGTTTGAGATCTTTCTTGTTTGAAAATAAGAACAAGTTCACTGGCATTTTATCTGGAATAAAAGGGAATAAAAGCCAGAGGGAGAAGGGCAGGTAACCTTGGCGAGGAGGCCCGCACACGAGATCAGGAGAGGGAAGCTGAACGGCCAGTTCAGTTCAGACTGAATGACTTTACGCAGGGAGTGTGTGGAACAAACGGTCGAGGGAGGCAGATTGTGTCAGTAAATTCAAGAGTAAATGAGGCGTGATATTTGGTGGGGAAAAGGATTGAGGTGTGGGAGAGAGAGAGAGAGAGAGAGAGCGGTGTGTGCTTATACTTTGGAATTTGTGATGGTCAAATAAGGTGCGATGGTCTTTTCTACGTACATGGAAAATGCGATGTATGTTTTGCTGCGTAGCTGCACTGGCCGGGTTTCTGTGCTCAGACTGAGACAAGAGTGCAAGCGCAAAACGGAAACTGATTCATCAAAAAAAGTGAAACTAAAGTTGTCAGCAACGAACGGGCCACTGGTTTCAAGTGTTGTATAGCTTCCTGGCTTTGCTGTGACTGCCAGTCCCCATCAAACTTATACACTGCGTCAATCCCAGACTGAATTCTACTCAGTCCCAGACTTACACTCTTGATATTCCAACTATCTCCTGAGAAGGGCCTTAAAGATCCCGCGGCACTATTTGAATAAGGAAAGAGAATTTCTCTTTCCTGGAGTCCTGGTCAACAATCCCCCAGATAAATCGCTCATTTACTTCATGGCTGTTTTGGGCCTCTTGCTGTCTGCAAATTGGCTGTCACGTTTGCCTACAAATAGTCACTACATTTCACAGCAATTCCTCTTAAAAGTTTCAACAACATAGGTCTGTATCAAATGCAATTACTGTTCATTTTCTTTTCAAAATGTCATAGCACCACCATAATGACGATAAGTATTCTAGCCTGCAGGAACATTGAACAAATGTATTGAGACAAACCAGACCACATGGTTAAGATAATCACACAAAAAATTCAAGGGTAGGTTTCGCAAAATTGTCTTTACACGCAGGGCCGTGGGGATGCAGAACTTTCTGCCAAGAACCAGAGATGAGGCAGAGTCCTATTTTAAAGGGAATAGATGGCTGAAAGGGTGTAGGGGAAGGAGCAGGATGTCTCTTGGGGAAGAAAAACAGCTCTGGAGTTAATGGGCTGAATGGCCTTTTTCTATGCCGGAGTATTCTAGGATCCTAAGTCCCTAGTGGGGCCATGTCACCAGTTATATAGTGCTGTGTTATTGCAGGCTGGACTGAGACAACCTGCTCCACACAGCCACTGGATCCTGGAAACAACTAGTAAGATTAATGGGGATGCTGGGTTGAAACACACGGTGAGAAATATAAAAGCCAGAGAGTGTAGCTCCAGTTATACAGACCTCCTTTGCAGTATTGGGTTCAGTTTAGAGCACACGATCTTAGGAAGCAATATCATGACCTTGAAGGGTCTCCAACAATCACTCACTAGATTAATACCTAGGAAGAAGGGATTTATCTTAGATATGCTGAAAGGCTGGGTATATTGCTTGGAGCTATGGAAGTTAAAAATGCTGATCTGAGTGAGTTGTGTACAATAACGAAGGGAACTGACAAGCTGGATAATGGATTCCCTCTGTTAAGGAAGGGGCACGCATCTTAAAATTAGAGCTAGGTGCAAGACCCAAAACTTAGGAGAAAGATGAGGGGGAGACGAGAGAAAGAAGAGACAAAAAGGAGGGGGGGAGAGAGAGTAGAGAATGAAGCATCAGTTCGTCATTGTACACATCTCACTCAGATCAGCACTTTTAACTTCCATAGCTCCAAGGATTACACCCCAGCCTTTCAACATATCTAAAATAAATCCCTTCTTCCTAGGTATTAATCTAGTGAGTGATTGTTGGAGACCCTTCAAGCCGTGATACTCCTTCCTAAGATTGTGTGCTCTAAACTAAACCCAATACTGCAAGCCCCCACTCTCAGCTCGAGTGAAATGCTTCCAGCTCTCTCTCCCTGTTCTGGGCCACAAATCAACCTAACGCATCGCACATGTCTGGCTGCTGAAGAGGTGCGACAGGAGCCTTTCCCGGCTGGGGCTCTGCTTCCTGAGCTGTCAAAGCTCTCTCTCCCTCATGCTGTTTTCCAGAGCAGGTGCTGAAGAGATGGAACAAAGGGGGGGAGGAAAAAAAAACACAAAGGTACCACGGAATCTGTCTGCGGTGTAAACCGGCGCCTCGGTTCCTGCCACCAATCCATCTGAACCGCAACAAGAAGCCGTGAGCTCAGGATCCTCACCGGAAGGGTTAGAGGAAAGTGATTCAAGCAGTGTTATTAGAATGTGGAATACTTTTCCACAAGTGGCTGCAGAAGCCTTAACATTTAAAAGGGAATCGGATAAGCATCTGAAGAGGAAAAAAATAAAGCTTTATTTTTTTCCTCTTCAGATGCTTAGGTGCAGTGTTCCCTGGAATCTTTAACATCCGCCTTCACAGCTAGATGGGTTTAAGCCCTCGTCTGAAGGATAGCACCTCAGGCACAATTTACATCTAAACCTAGTTTAGCCACTTGTGCTCAACTCTGGGTCACAAGGCTGTGGGTTCGAGGCCCATGGGGACCTTAAATTCACATGAGACTGCCACAGTACTGGTGCGGAGCTCTGCACTGTCAGAGATGCTATCCTTCAGATTAGATGTTAAATCGAAGTCCCAACTGCTGAATTTACCTACAGATAAAACAGTGACTGCCCCTGACAGTAATTCCCTGTGAAATGCTGTGAGACAACAGTAACTTGCATTTATGTACAACAACAACTTGGATTTATATAGCGCCCTCCACGCCGGACGGCGTCTCAGAGCGCTTCACAGTAATGGATCCCGGGGCCGAGCCGGGGGAGGGGGTGGAAGGTGACCAAAGGCGTGGTCGAAAAGAAAGGTCTTCAGCAGAGACATGAAAGTAGGAAGAGAAGGGGCGAGGCGAAGGGAATGAGGAAGGGAGTTCTTCACTCATCTCTGGTTCCTTGCACTTTTCAAGAAGGGTAGCGTCTCGGAGCACTTAACAGTGGCGAAGCTTGACACTGACCAGGGAGAGAGGTGAGGTGACCGTAGGCACGAATGAAGAGGAAGGTCTTCGGATATGATCTGAAGACGGCCAAAGAGGGGGCTGCTGTTGGTGGAGCGGATGGAGCCAGCAGAGACGTAGTGATGGTGGTGGGCCAAACAGGACTCGAAGCAGGAGAGTGGGTTCCACCAAAGTGGATGAAGGAGGAGAGGCGGTCAAAGAGACATTTTGATGCTATAGATGTTGCAGTGTTATATGGTCACAAATGATGTGACATGAGACACTATCCTACATCGATAAAAACTATCATTGACCAGATGTGAGCAGGTTTCCCGGTGCGAGAGAGTGAAAAAAAAAGTTACTGGGAGGAGAAAAACAGAGAAGGGAGCAGAGATACTCTAGAGAGAGAGAGTGAGAGTGAGAAATGAGGGAGCAGAGAGAAAGAGAATGGGATACCAGGGAGCAGAGTTGATAACACTCAAGACTCACAGTCTAGGACGACAGTCCAGTGCAGTGCTGGGGGAATGCTGCACGGTAAGAGGTGCCATCCTTCAGGTGAGACATTAAATCAAAGTCTCGTCTATGCCTGTTCAGGTGGACGTTATAGATCCCACAGCAGTATTGGAAAGAAGGGAGTTTCTCTCCCTTCCCTGGTTTGCTGGCTGACAATCCCCCAGATACAATAACCATTCACTGTTGTTTGTGGAACTATATGCTGTGCACAAATTGGCTGCCACAAATTGCTACAAAACACAGTCACTACACTTCTTAGTAAATCCTTTGAAGTGCTTTGAGCAGTCCTTTCGACGTGTTAAGGTGCTACATCAAATGGAAGGATTACCTGTTGTTATAACAATGCAATCAGCCACACCGAGGTTTACAGGGTTTGTGTGAGTGAATCCTCACAGTAAGTCTCCTTTCTCTCCCCAGAACAAAGACCGCGACAGGAAAAGCACGATTCGAAACTAACCGGGAGGAGGGAGGAGAGACCTGGCCTGTGGAGTTTGCGAGCTCACTGCAAGTCTGAGAGCCACAGAGCAGGGAGGAACTCAGCTTCCCTTTGAAGGATGTGGAAAACTGGGAGAGGAGGGCGCTAACCAAATGCTTCTTAAAAAAAACTCACACGAGCAAGCCCAGTGTCTCAACATTTCACTGCATCTGACAGTCTCGGATTTAAATACAAGGGGAAAAACATGAAGAACCCCCTCCCCCCCCCACCTGACCACCTTTCTCTCTCCCCCCCAAAGACTGACAGCCTTACCCGTGAGCCGGATTAGTTAAAAGGAAACCAGTCGGGATGGAGGAGGGAAACAAAATGACAAAACTGCACCCAGTGGCTTTAAAAATTAAACACAAAACTTTACCCACACGTGGGCTGCTGTCATGTAAGAAATGTGTAATATAAGAAGCAATTTTGTACATAAAATAAACACCCGTTCTGAGTCACAGTCTGTGTGTTATTCGCTGTGGCAGCCCCCAACCCAGTTTGGGGAATTGGGGGGAGGGGAAGAAGAAATGAGAAATGGGACCTGTGATGTGCTAATTATATAGGATGGGCTTCCTCAGCACTGACCCGTGCGGCTGAAAATGTCTCCATTAGACTTGTCGGCCACACCTGCGGCGCTGACCAGCACTGTCAGACTCACACAGCACGGGTCCACGGTGAGATGTGGAGCGCAGATTGCTGACGCTGACGTAGCTGGCTTTATTTGACATTCAGAGATAAAGAAGCCAGAACTCCCTGAACCTCAACACTATATAAAAAAAATACTCAACACCAAAACATTCCACAGAGCAAATCCAATTAGAGCTGCAGTCTTGTGCTTTGTTGGACTTGCTGGTGAGCTGACAGCGAACACCAGCCCAGAAACAGTGGGGAGAGAGCAGGAAATGGGATTAAGAGTAGAGAGCTCCAGTGGGGGAAGCGAGCACCAGCACAGACACGATGGGGATAGAGCGGGGAATGGGATTAGGGGAGCAGCACCAGCAGACACGACGGGGTCAAAGGCCTGCTTCTGTACAGTGATTCTCACTTCTCCCCCCCCCCCACCCCCCCCCCAAATCCCGTTGCTTTCTCTGGGAGTATTGTTACATCGCGCTACTGACTGTGGAAAAGGAGCATCGCAGCAGAGCTGTCAGCTCACCGGCAAGTCTAACAAAGCACGAGACTGAAACCCGAGCCAGGCTGCGGATACATTACACTCTCAGCTCCTCAGAGTGACGGCACGGCACGCAGGGTCTGTTGCGGTGCAGGCACGTCCGAGGCTGACTGGTGAGCCTCCTCACTACCTGCCGGGCTGGCTACCGCGGGAGCAGGGAGCAGTGCATTCCATCCCTGTGCAGTAAAGAGCTCACGTCTGGATCCTGGTCACGGATCTGGAGCAAATTAGTCTTGAACTGCACAACAGCAACCTGAGCTGGCCTGGCCTGTGCACCCCAGCCGGGGAAGGGGGGGTGGGGTGGGGGGGTGGGGGCAGGAGAGGGGGGGAGGAAGAGATGAGGGATCTCTTTAAGACTCTTGATATTCTCCCCCCCCCCCCCCACTCCACCAACTAAAAGTCTGTAAAACACAATTCATGACAATTACGTCTGCAGTTTACACGCTCCAGCCGTCTTGTGTACTCCGATCCTTTAACACTTAACCTGTGACCCCCATTGGACAAAGTGATGCTCTCCCCCACCCCCACAGACTTGTTAATGTCTAAGAACGCAAGGTGGATTTTCATGGCTTACGATGGGAGTGCAGAGCGGACAGAGCGGCGGCGGGGCGGGGGGGGGGGGGAGGGGGAGCAAGAGAATCAGAGAATTTTACAGCACAGAAAGAGGCCATTCGGCCCATCGTGCCTGTACCGGCTCTTTAAAAGAGCTACGAACTAGCCTCACTCCCCTACTCTTTCCTTCATAGCTTGGCAAATTTTTCCTTTTCAAGTACATATCCAATTTGAATAGTTGTTATTGAATCTGCTTCCACCAGCCTTCCAGCATTCCAGATCATAACACGTTGCGTAAGAAATGTCCCCGCTGGATCTTTTGCCAATTATCTTAAATCTGTGTCGTCTGGTTACCCGACCCATCTGCCAGTGGAAACAGTTTCTCCTTATTCAAGACGCCTCGTAATTTTAAACACCTCTACTAAATCTCCCCTTAACCTTCTCTGAGCGCAATCTCAGCTTCTCTAGTCTACCAACTAACTGAAATCCCTAATCCCTGGTACCATTCTGGTAAATCTACTTTGCCCCCTCTCCAATGCCCTGACCTCCGTCCTAAAGTGTGTGTGGGGTGGGTGGGTGGGGGGGGGGGGGTGGGTCAGAATTGGACACAATACTCCAGCTGAGGCCTAACCATTTACAAATTTACAAAGGTTTAGCACATCTTCGTTGCTTTCGTACTCTATGGCTCACTCTATTGCAACACTCAAAACGTTTTATACAGAAATCTTTCCAAGTGCAGCAAGTACACAGCCACAGTGCTGACCTAGATTGAGACCCAACGCTCAAGAGTTTGAGCTCATAGTCCCAGGCAGTACTGTCAGAGTGCAGCACTGTTACAGACACCGCCTTTCGGAAAGGATGTTAACAACAATTCTTGCATTTGATATCGCGCCTATTCACGTCTGAAGAGACGTCTCAAAGGGCTTCACAGAATATATACTGTAAAGTGAATTGAATGTATGTTTTGTGGGCGAAACACTGCAGTCAGTTGTACCACAAACGGTCGTGGATTGAGTGACTTTTTTTAGGGATTATTACCCCAGAAAACGATCAGTCCATCAATGAACAATCGGGTTCTACTTACTGCTATAGATATACAGAGACGTGTGGAGTAGGGAAACTCGCCCTGCCCGGGATTCAAACCCAGGTCTTCTCGCTTGCGAGGCATGCACACTAACCAATACACTACAGGGCTCCTACAAATGTCAAAAGTTGAGGACATTAAAAATCTTGCAACACTATTGAAAAAGAGAAGGGATTTATCCCAGTGTCCTGGTCGACCACAGTCCTATTAAATTGGTTGTTTGTGGGAACTTGCATTGTGCAAAATGGCTGCCTCAAATGCCTGGAATGTGGTAAAATGTTATAAAATTTGCATTGCATTCTCTTCCTTTGGTGCCAATCATTGGAAACCCTTTGGCTTGAGTGTGCTCATGCCTATGACTAATACGAGCCATAGCAGGCAGCCTTACATAGTAGCGTGCACTGAAACTATTCACACCTCCACACTGCCAATGGTAGCAAGCACACAATGTTCTGTGCGAGGAAAGGCAGTGGTCAGATAGACGGAGACAATGAGCTGCATATCCATCGCTCCTCAACAGCTTCAAACATTTCACACCAACGAAGCTCAGCCACTCATTTGATTTGGGTTGGTCAAAGCGGGTGACCTAATTCCCAGAGAGTATTAGGTAAATTTATAATCCTTGTGTCTGATATAGCGTCTTTGACATGTCTCAAAGCGCTTCACAGGATATACTGTAAAGTGAATTGACTGTATATAATAATAATCCTTGCATTTGACATAGCGCTTTTCATATCGGGAGGACGTCCCAAAGCGCTTCACAGAACACACTGTAAAGAGAATTGACTGTATATTTTGTGGGCGAAATGTGGCAGTCAACTGCACACAGCAGTGTCCCACAAACAGTCGCAGATTGAGTGACCAAATCATCATTATTTTTTTTTGAAGGGAGTTATTTCCCCCGGAAAGCAACCAGCTGATCGACGAACTTACGGCTAGCTAAACAGGCGTGTGGAGTAAGGAAACATAAGAACATAATAGGAGCAGGAGTAGGCCATTCAGCCCCTCGAGCCCACCCCACCATTTAATAAGATCATGGCTGATCCACTAACCTATTTCCATTTACCAGCCTTATCCCCATATCCCTTAATGCCTTTACATTTTAAAAATCTACTTGCCCAACATTTCGCCATAATAATAATAATCCTTGCATTTGATATAGCGCTTTTCACGTCTTCTAGATGCCCAGGAATCAAACCCAGGGCCTCTTGCTTGCGTGCGTGGCGAGTGCTCTAACCACTACGTTACAGGTACACATAGATTGTGCATTGGTTTACTGCTGGAGTTAACATCAGCCCGAAGTCCCAATGTGCAATTAGCGTCTCCCATAAAGTGCGAATTAACTAGAATTAGCAGCCGTGCTTGTTCCAGACCTCCATGCGTGGAGCTACCAGACTTCACTTACACAGCAGAGTAAACAGTCAGCCTGGGAATACACAGTTTTCCTCGTCCCACAAGGATTTTTTTTAATGGAGCTACCGTTGCAGTCTCTGTGCTCCAGGTGTTAGGGTTTAAGATGAGCTGATCAGCTGCAGTGACTGGGATGCTACCCGCTTACAAACACATCTGCTAGAACAATGTCAGTCTGGCTCAGTCAGTCTGCTCTTGCCTCCAGGTCAGCAGCTTGTAGATTCAAGCCCCACGTCGGGATTTTGAGTTCACAGTACAGACAGACACTCCAGCGCTGTATGGGGGCAGGGGGTGAAGAGCTGCATTGTCAGAGACATTAAAGCTATCCAGTCTCTACCTATCCAGGCAGACATTAAGGACCGATAATGGCTTCTCAGGGCGTCCTGGTTGACAATCCTCCAGATACATTCATTCATGGCCATTTGCGAGACCTTGCCATGAGCAAAATAGCTGCCACAAAAGACAGTCACTATATCTGACGGTAATTACAGTAGTACATCTGGACATGATCAGACCCCATTAAAGTGCAACTCACTACCCCAGTCCCTCTGCCTCACTCACTCTCCGTCTTCAAATCCCACCTTGAAACCTAGCCTTTCCTATGGCCACCTCCCCTTCCCCCCCACCCCAGCTCCTTTGCTCAGCATCCGACCCACACTGTGACACTCTCCGAGATGTTAAGCCTATATTATGGCCGCGATATAAATGCAAATTGGTGTATTGTTCCCAAACAGCCCTGGCAGTGTTAATCTCCATGTAAAAGAAAATACTAGCTCCACCTGGGAGCGTCCCACTCACTCTGGCCGGACGAACATCACGGCTGCCATTTGAGGCTTTGTGACTTCTGCATTGCACAACTTTCCACTGGATCATTTCTCATCATCATTATTATTATTATTAAAAAATAAATCTGCTTTATACATCAGCTGGAAAGTGGAGATGCAGTAGCTGAGGGGCCGGCTGACAACGTGGCCAATTTAGAGGGGGAGCGGAGCGCGCAGGCTCCCGCAGGAGGCAGTGACCTTCCTCTCCACGAGAACACAAACACAACCATTAAAGCCTTCCCACTCTGAGAAAGTCAGCACTGCCCCTGGGCTACTCTTACGTGGCCAGAGAGAATTCACAAGGGGTGAGAGAGACAAGATACGTAGCGCACACTCGCGAGGAAAGATGCCCGTGAGAAGCTCTCGACTTTAATCCCATTCTCTGTTCTTTCCCCCATCGTGTCTGTGCTGGTGC